CATGAAATATTTCCGTCCCACCTGTTGCGCTGTGCACATTCCCGTACACGATGTACCCTCCCATAAAGAGGATCAGGAGAACTCTGGACAGAAGGGACATCATTGTCGGTCTTTGTTGTTCCTGAAACAAAGAAAGTTTATGTGACAAGGAGGCTCACACGTTCGACTGCGAGTATGTCAAAGTGCCAAACAATTGCGGCAAGCTGTATTCTCTAGCGGACCAAGGCATGTTACCTCCCTATTTTGCCAATTTCTACTCTTTCCAGTCGCCTCCCGAACCCTAGGTAGAGGCTATCGAGGTATAGAAACAAAAAAGGCTTTGATTGATTAGTTGGTTGATTGGTGATTGATTGATTGATTGATATAAATATTGCTCTCAACGTGAGAATTTTCGTCTTTGTCACATGAGAGTGTGTTGGAATAGTTGGAATTTGAACATTTTCGCGGGTGATTAGACTAACACATGTACACCCTCGAAGTTCTGTCAATAGTCAAAACATCCACGAAATTCAATTTAAAATACTCTGTGTTGACGGACTTTGCCCGTGGTCCCGCACATTTTGTTTATCCGGGTTAGCTGCCAAAGACCACATATAATCATATGCATAAAATCCTGTCAGTGGATCCGGAAATACTGAATCCAAGATTTTAACTGTGACGAAGACAAAAAGGAAGCCGCTTGATTATTGATTATGTACGTCACGTTCCTTTCATGTTAGCAGGTTGTCGTAAAACTTTAATGTTGTAGGTTTTGAGAGAACCAAACACCAATCAGGATCTAAAACATGCGTTTTTAGGCAACAAGTACCCGAGTCGTACACGACACATGCACGGCTATACCAAAAATGCCTTCAATTTTATGATCGTGTGACGATCGTTCGACGAATGTGACCAGGCCCTTAGTCCGTCAAATACCACTCAATCATTTTGAGAACCTCTCAGGTGCGTGTAAGAACATTAAAATGCTGCTTCATGTAGGTAAAAAGCTCTTTCTGTACTATTGTAATTACAATGACGGGTTCCTACCTACGTTACGGTCTCTGTTCTTTCGTCACGGACATCAGAGAAGGTAGCTGAACAGTTCTATCATCAACAACGTCCTCACGAGAACATGGCCATGTCCACCTAACTCGTATGGAAATTCTCCTTGCCAACCGATGTGTCCTTTGACCTCTGTGAACCATTTAGCTGAAGGCCTAACCTTTTATGTGGTTGGTTACGCCGTGCCACGTAAGGGCCTGCTATGTACACATGTAGTGTGTGAGTAGATAAACACCTACAATAGGCGGTACGGTGTACAAAGGTCACGGCTTGCGAACCAGCTGTTACAGTAAGTAACAGTAAGCAATTAATCTGAACAATTTCTTGCCGTGGTTGTTTATAATGTTAAGAATTATCACGTTGCGGTATGTATGCATATATATTCGTTGCAAGCCAGTTACAGTATAAATACATACTACTCAGTTATGTCTTCCATGGATACCTTTCATGTCGCCGCACGGTTAACTATTAATATGTGGGTCGCAGGTAATAATATTAAGGTTCCCGTATCGATCAATCTGTGGTACGTGGAACGACGGTCTACTTTGACCTGCAGTGTCGGTCCATGCTGCTAGGTGGCGCTTGGGCCGCTTGGCCGGTAACAAGTTGTAATCGAACTACGTAGTGACATTTTGCTTCTTTATGGATGACATCCTCCGCAGACTCCAAATCTAATGCGAGCGGGCGGAAAAAAAAACAAGGCGGGCTGAAAAAAACAAGACTCCTACATTTTAAAATTTTGACTCAATCATTGTACAAATGGTTTTTACTCAGTGGAAACATCACATATACACAGCCAGCATCACATATCACTGCATCAAAGTAAGAAATAAAACATTAAATCAGAGCCTTTTCTTGTCTCCTCTCTTAATAGTTATCTGCCATCCACCTTCCGGCATGGCAACAGACATCTTTGCCCATTTTCAGCATGTTGACCACTGTCAGATGGCAACAGAATTTCTTGTTGTTTTTTTTGTTTTTTTGTTTTTGTTTTTTTTCTTTAAATCAGGGGAAAATCAATGCGCGCGCTGATATCGATGTCATCCATAAAATTACTTACTGTGGCCTAAATAAACTTCGGAGTTATTTGCAAGTCTTTGGAGGTATGGAAGACAACGAAAAGGAAAACATTTTATTTTCCTTACCCCTATAGTCTACAACGATTGAATATTGAAATCTACGCGATTGACACACTTGTGCTTTTCAGGCTGTCCATATGAGCCCTAAACTGAGATGTATGCTATGAATATGAAATGAAAAGAAGCCCACAGTGGAGGTCGCTGGAAGACAGTAGAATGTCCAGACTGTGCATGATGTACAAAATGACTAATAAACTGGTGGATATACCAACCACTATGTATCTGATACCAGCCCAGAAGAGAACAAGAAACAATGATGCCTTCAAATATCAACCAAGAATTGAGGTATTAAAAAACTCGTATTTCCCAAGCACAGTTGGGGCATCATCACTAGAAAGCTTTAAACAACCCCTGCAATCAAATGTGCAAAGACTGAGTGTAACAAGTCGTTCGGTGTGATATAGCTAGCTGCCGCCGCGCCGCGTGCCTGCGAAGCTGGTGTGTTACGCCGAAGGGCGGTTATACCGGCTATACCGATACAGATACAGAATATACCCAGCTATACAAACACTTCAAATTGTATATAAACTACATATACAATAAGTAATTGTACAATAAATAAACCTGAAAACTTGAAGTAGGTCATGTGTGTCTGGGGGGATTAAGTCTTATCTTAAACTGCGCCTAGGATTGAATCTTTATCAAAACCTTTATCGATTAATCCTTATCTTTAATCGAGGATTACGTCCTTTATTCCAACTGCATCTAGAATTGAATACTTATCTCTCATCGCAAGGATTAAGTCCTTAACTTATACTGTACCGAGAGTCCTTGAACTGCATCAAGAATTAACTAGTTGGAAACGAGTTCTTCACACCTGCGGAGCAAAGAGAAATGTATATTGACACCAGAGATCGACTAGACACCTCACGGCGGTCCTGTGCTTTAAGCCTGAGCCGTTACACATAGCCGAACATGACCTCCCGAACACTGCTGAACTCCCAACACCATGGTTAGGAGTAGGTCGGGAGCAAGGTCGGCTGTGATTGGCTGGTGATAGGCGACAGTGGTTACAGTTTGGCTGCATCAACCGAATGTTTCAAAATGTTTGAAACGTTTGGGTGTGGACAAGAGGACCGCACATGCTTGACTAGTGTTGGGGAGTAGATAAGCAGCGTTAAACGTTCGGGTGGAGCCTCTCCTTCCACCACATTTTAAGTCCCCCACCCGAAGTCCGGTGTCCATTGGTATCATTGGGTGGAGTGAGAAAAGTTGTGTAAAGTGCCTTTCCCAAGGACAGAGGGTGTCCAGCCAGGAATCGAACCCACGACCTCTCACTTGCGTGTCCGCAAGCCTAGCCACTCGACGTCACCAATGCAGGGGACAAAATTTAGCCACAGCGTTGTGAAGAAGACTACTAAGAGCTTTAACATCCTTCGGCGGAACAGTGACCTCCCCTGCATGTAAGGCCCCTGTCACACCCAGCCATGGCCTTCCAATGACTTTTCCTCCGATCACTACCCAACCAAGATCGACACTGGGTTGGGAGTAGCCTGGAATATATCTAGCTCCAGTGCGTTCGCTCCTCTGGCTGCATCCAAGTATAACATGAGTTTGTTTACTTTGATTTTACAAAAATGTATTGTCAGCTGGCCAAGTTTGGTCACGCCTACCTCTCTATACGAATCGAATCAAATTTGACTCCAAACCACTCTCGGACGACTGCTGATCTACTGCCGAACATCAGCCAACCACCAGCCAACCTCCTGTCCCCACTCGACTGTTTTAACATTCGGCTAGCCCAGCCAAACAGTAACCGCCCTAGCTCGCCGAATACCAGCCAACCACAGCTGACCTTTCTCCCGACCTACTCCCAACTATGGATGGTTGGGGGGAGTTCGGCAGTGTTCGGAAAGCCACATCCGGCTATGTGTGACAGGGACTTACGTTGTTGTGGGCGGGCGGTCATTGCGGATAAGACCGAGTGAAGCGTGAATGCTATAAATTTAGTTTCTATCAGTTCTACCAACGCGAGATGCTAGCCTAAACTACCGGAGGCCGCTGGCGTAGGACTCAATTTGTTAAGAGTGAAGCTTGTATATCTTAGCTCGAGTCTTAGAAAGATATAAGAGAAGGGCACTGTGTGTTACCGCATTACTTATCTGTAGAAACAGCAGTTATGTGGTTACCTCAACCTGAACTTGTGGGTCCGTGCAGGCAGTGTAGGAACTGAAACATGCATATTTATTATCGATATGATGATATTAGAAAAATTGTGGGTTAAAGATATGACGTTTTAATAAACTGAAACAATTTTCTGATCAATTTCGACAATTAGGTTTTGCTTTTGTTTTCATTCACATTGTATATTTTGGAAATAATGGTGTACTTTTCTACTGTTCAAAGTTAGGCTTCAAGTTGGTTCTTGGAAACATCTTTTTCTTAGTTTTCCTCCATCCTTTCCATACCACATGTTCGTGACAGTCCAGTTGTCACGACGTGGACACTGAAGTTCATCTATACGTGACAAGGTTGTCTTGTGGTTAGGGTTGTTGAGTAATAGTCTGAAGGTTCTGGGTTCGAATCCCTGACAGGGCCGAATATAATGCTCTTCGGAAAGACATTTACACCTATTTCCTTACTCCACTAGGCCTACCTAGTTTCGGTTGGGGACGTCATCTCGGATAACACGTAATGCTGAGGGTCCCGTGTTTGAGGATTGCCACGCCTTGAGCACGTTAGAGAGCCCACCACACTTACACCTTCCCGGTGTTAGTGGTTCAAACCCTACAGTCTGGTTGAAAAGGTGATAGTCACCTGCTATGCCAATCCTTCCACAAATATGGTAAATCTAAAAAAAAAAATTTTAAATGACATTAATTCGGTATTACTAAGCTTTTGACATAAGAGAAGGTGAAAACTATAAGCGCACACACAGTTCACGGATCAAGGCTTTGACTGTCAACAGCTCGTAATAAGACAGAATAGTATAGTTTAATATGCGCTACACTTGGCTCAGAAGAGCCGCATCCTGAACAGTTTGGACGGGGCTGGGACTGAAAACCGCCTCGCGGGAACATTTTTTGAGCCCCGGTGGACACCTTTCTTTTTTAACCGAAGTTAATGGTGTGGATATTTCAGGTTCAAGTCTTTCCAATTCGTCTCTTAAAAAAATAGCTCGGTTGAAAGCGTTGATTTAGCCCGTTATCTTCCATCCAGTAAGCCGGACGGCGTGTTTCTATCTGCGGCTACAGCTGCGCATCGCAATTGTAGACGGCCGATAGGCAATTTTGGCGGCAGCGGCAGAACTTGCCTCTGGTGAATTCATACCCACCCCTCGCGACCTACGCATGTCTCTTCTCATTTCGCAACTCATCTATATCAGACGTTAAAGTCTGCTTTATTCATGGAATTATTTCTGTATATCACTTCCATGGAAAATCTTGCCTTATCGCCGTGAATCGGTTGTCACTGGGATAATGGGCTGGTTCCCGGAGGAATTACAGGTACCACTATCTCCCCTGCATCGCGCCTGTGCCGGTGATTCCGAAACGCTCTGTCCGATGTCTTTACACAACATTTCATTAAAGTAGGAAGGCAGTTTTCCAGCCACAGTTGGAAAGTTAGCTGTGAAGTTCTTCCTTCTTTTTTTTCTTCCACTCGAGAATGGAAGTATAGTTAACAACGGGCAGCCTTGTGTTAAATGATGAGGATATAGTGCGTTGCCTAAAGCTAGGAGCCAGGGGATCTCTGATTTTTTTTTACGGGAGATCCTAAACGTACGTAATAAAAGTAATAGCTGCCATGGTAGCTTTTAACAAACGAGCGTTTTGCTAGGCTTCTACTAGCTAACCTACTCCTAGAGTTACGGCGTTTGCAAATTTGCATGATTACCTAGT